AAATGCTTTAAAAATACATATTTATATTTTTAAAATGTGTTTAAAAAAATACAAAAATTGCCAAACAATATACTGGTAGAAAATATATTTACCTAAACATATTTTGAAACAGAAATATATGGAGGGAAAAAATATAATTTTAAATGCTTAAAAAATATCTATATATTTTTAAAATATATTTTTTAAAATATACAAAAAAATGGCCAAAAAATAAATTGGTAGAAAATATATTTACCTAAATATATTTTGAAACCGAAATATATGGAGGGCAAAATATATATATTAAATGTATATTAAAAGTATATTTTTAAAACATATTTTTAGAAATATACAAAACAATAGGTAGAAAATATATTTATGCAAATATATATTTTTGGCCATTTATGTATATTTTCAAATATATCTGAACTCTATAAATATTTTATTTATTTATTAATTTTTATTTTTTCTGTCTCTCAGATATGCTGTATGGGGCATTTCTGACTGAGAACACGTGCAGATTTCCTTTAGTCAAGGATAAAACCAGATACCTGATCACATGTGCGCCGTATGTGGCGGAAACCTGGTTTTCAGGGACGAGTCTGTTATATAAGCTACACACTTGTGCGTTGATAACAAACAGACACTCACATCCCACTCGGACACTTGCGCAAACAAGCTAATGATCAACAGATGTGCGCTTGAGTAATCGCACACAAGCGGCGCTCAGTGTTTGGCTGCTGAAGGGGCGTCACTGAACGCAAGGAGAAAATCGCTGAGAAACCCAGTTTACTGTATCGCTGGAATGAGTCGCAGATCTGTCTCGGGTTTGAAGTCTCTTCAGCTCACCGAGGCTGCTTTTATTTGATCAAAAATACAGCAAAAATGTGAAATATTATTATAATTTCAAACAGCTGTTTTCTATGTGAATATCTGTTAAACTGTAATTTATTTCTGTGATCAAAGCTGTATTTTCAGCATCATTACTCCAGTCTTCAGTGTCACATGATCTTCAGAAATCAGTATAATATGCTGATTTGCTTCTCAAGAAACATTTAATATTATTCTCAATGCTGAAAACATTAATATTTTTGTGGAAACTGTGATGCATTTTATTTTTCAGGATTCACAGATGAATAAAAAGTTCAAAAGAATCTAGTTTGGCTTCATCTACTAAAATAACTAAAACTGAAACAAACATTAATAAAAATTACATAGACATCTTAAAAAAAAAAACTAATCAAAATGACAAAAACCCAAAAATTACTAAAACTTTAACAAAAATGTAAAATAAAAATATAATATATTATAATAAAAACGAATTCAAACTACTAATAAAAAACTATAGTAGTATCTCATTGATAGTAAAATAACTGCAACAAAATTACAACAGTCGGTACAGTGCCTTTTATAACTTAAAAATAATGTAAATTTATATTATAATATCATGCTTTAATCAAGAGGGATTATTAGATGGATTAAGTTTATAGTGCATTATAGTGATTTTACCACGGTAAAAGTTTACATCAGGTGAAATCATAGTAAAATGACCCACAGTGGCTTTATTGCTTCAATAAAATAGTGCCAACAGCAACATAAAATTACAATTATTCATAATATTAATTGTTGCTTTGCAGAAAATGTGCACAGAATTCAAAGATCCATCAATCTTCTGCCATTTGCATTTGTTTGTTTCTTAAATATTCTTAATCCAGAGTTTCCCATAAGAAATGCTCTCTTATAATATCATGCTTTAATCATGCTTTTGCTGATAATTCACGCTCATTTACAAAGGCGAGATTCCTGATGTGTAACAAATTTAATTTATTTTAATTAATTAAAACGTAGTGGGAGCGTTGTTTCGAAAGGTTTCTAAAATGTTGAAAAGTCCAGTTTTGATTAGAACGTTATTTAAAGGTTACAAAAACGTTTCTTATAACATTCTACCAACTTCATTTCCACCCAAAATAGAACGTTATTTGAGCGTTTATTTTCAATATTCTAAGAACATTAAAATACCCAGTGTTCTTGTCGTGATTAGAACGCTATTTAAAGGTTACAAATACGTTTCTTAGAACATCCATCGAGTACAAATGACATCATAAGAACATTCCACAAACGCTACTTTAAGAACGTTTTGTCCTAACGTTAATATAACTTTTAACAAACGTTAGTGAAAGTTGTGAGAACATTCCCTGTTAGCTGTGTGCACATGTTTGGAAACCTTCATCTACAGTGGAGACCAAAATTAGAGAACAATCTATAAATACTTGTTTTTAAAAAATATTATTCATCTTCATCGCTTAAAATCTGAAGTTATATTAGCTGTGGGTATGCCACTGTTATACTAACATGTTGAACTGATGAGCAATTCCAGCTGCAGTGCTGAACCGATTCCCCATTGAGAGTCTCTGCATTATCCTCTCGTGCATTTGTCTTAAGTGGACGACCAGCCTTTTTAGGGGACTTGAATGAATTAGAGTCATTGCAAAGCTGCAATATTCAAGAAATTACAGATTTGGAACGACCAGTTTCTGAAAGTGTCGTCCCTTTGGCCTTCATCTGGACCGCCTCCCTTTCGCAGGGTTTCAGTCACTTTAGAGCAACCCGCCATCTTTCAATCTCAGTGAAAATTAGAGGAATGCTGCCAGTTAAATAGGGTTTGAAATATAATTAATGAAATTAGCACCAGGTGCCAGATTCACACCAATAACTGGGAGGTATCTGTAAGCGTTCTCTAATTTTGATCAGAGTTCTTTTTCAAATATCTCATTTACTGTGCTTCAGAATACAATTAATTTATGAAATATGCTTAAAGGGGTCATATGATGCTTTTTTAAAGATCATTATTTTGTGTATTTGGTGTAACAGAATATGTTGACATGCTTTAATGTTCAAAAAACACATTCTTCTGGCCCTCCAGGACCGAGTTTGGGCACCCCTGGACTAAACAGTGACCTTGAAATTTAGGAAATTGTAGGTTGTTCTCTAATTTTGATCTTCACTGTACATCAGATGCGTTTCAAGTGTCCTGTTCAGTGTGAATGTGTTGGAAACGCTGCGTTACCTGCGGCTCGCTGGCACTGACTGCGGTTGGCGTACGTGAAGTGATCGTCGCAGCTCTGAGACGAACAAACACAGCCGTCGGCCGTCAGATTACAGCCAGAAAACACACACGCCGGGTTCACGGGACCCACAAACCTGTGTCTGTGATCGTGACGGAGAGAACCTGAGAAACACAGAGAGTTACAGGTCAAACACAGGCTAGTGATGATTAACAGACCATGATTAATGCGGCATATAAATCGCAACTTGGACGCATTTCTGGTTCAATGAATTTAAATACATCCAGGTTCAAATAACTTTATGCTGAACATAAACGATGTAACACGATAGTTTACGTAAAGATATATCATGCATAAACCTGTTAAAACACGTCCCAGAAGAGCTACGCACATGTCTATTTTGGGACGTGTTCTAATCTGAACGCAATGAAAAGAAAGGCAATAAAAAGATTATTGTGCCGATACTAATAAAATCTATATGTTCAATGTGTTAAATAATGTTCTTAGTCTTTCTTTCCTGTGATGGATCGGTTCAGAGTTTATGCTGATTTAAATGCCAGATACTGTTTATTGTATAACCAAAATACTAATTATAATTAGAAAAAAAGATGTATACATAATGAGGGGCTTTTAATCATAAACAAGCTTGAAATACAATGTTTATCTTTACTACTTCCGACTGCTCGTTTAAAAACATGAGAGAAATATGGGAACCAAAACATCAATAATAACAAAAAAAAATAAAAATAAAATAAAAGATTTTATGCATAATGAGGGACTTTTAATCATAAAGAAGCTTAAAATACCCCTGGACTATTATTTTGAAATGTCTGTGCTTTATTAACTTTAGCTTCTGACTGTTCTTTCAAAAAGATGAGAGAAATATGGGAACCAAAACATCAATAATAACCAAAAAATAAATAAATACATACAATTTTAAAAAGATTTTATGCATAATGAGGCACTTTTAATCGTAAACATTACTAAATTATACAGGGACTCTTACTTTGAAATATCTATACTTTACTACTTCCAGTTGCTCATTCAAAAATATCAGACAAATATGGGAACCAAAATACCAATAATACCCCCCACCCCCCCAAAAAAAATGCATAATGAGGGACTTTTAATCAATGACAAGCCCGAAATACAGTAGGACTCTTATTTTGAAATGTCTATGCTTTTCTACTTAAAGCTACTTATTCAAAAAGATGAGACACATAAAATATGCATCTTACAACCATCTAAAACATATTATAATATAAAAACCATAAAGTAAACATTGTAAATTCATCAAAGGTGCATCAATAAGCAATCATTAGACATAAATGTGCAGGATTCACTGACTGCGAACTGCTCTAAAAACACACAACAGCGCCATGTTTTAACTTTTAACAATTTATTTAATTGAATCATAGCTTTTTGAAGTTTAATATTCACATATCCATATCACAATGCTGTTTTTCCATCCCCAAATTTGCCCATATGGCAAAAAATATATTTTTTCTGGCCAAAATATATTTTAAATATATGCTAAATATATGTTGTAAACAATGAAGCTCAATTAAATATATTTTTAAAAATTGAAAATATATTTAGTTTCAACCTTCATATACCAAAATATATTTAAAAAGCCTGCATTTAGACTTCATAATTTATTTTTATTCAAACGTGTTATATGCTCACATGTGTTACAGTTTTTCTTCCAATGTGATGTATGGAGGGCAAAATTTATTTTTAAATGCTTTTTTCAAAAATAAATTTATATTTTTTAAATATATTTTCAAAAATATCCAAAAAATATATATTGGTAGAAAATATATATGCATGTAATTTTATAATATTTTAGCAAATTTGCTTGGCCATTTTTTGTATATTTTAACTTTTGTTATACTATTTAAGACTCGTTATGGCCTTGAATTTGATCAAACCCACAAAGGACCCATGTAAGCCCTGTTATTTTGAGGGTGACATACGCACCTGTTTTCCCAGCATGCACGCATGCGTCTCTGTTGGGAAAGCTGTAGGTCTGGATGCAGGAGTGTTTGGATTCACACACACACTCTCCATCCACGCTCTCACAGCCGCTCACCAGCGGGCAGCGCTCGTCTGCATCCGTCGCGTCGGGTACCGCTGCGGAGAAGAAGACAGCGTTACCATGGTAACCAGACTCGTTTGTCAGGGACGTTTTGTCTCCGTCTCGGCTGTCACTGAGATTTGTTTGCTTTCGTTCCACAGAATGGCGCCAAACAGAGACGCTTTAACATTGTTGTGCCTGGAAAGATCTCTCAATTGTTTCTCCTAGACAGCAGTGAGATGAAGAGAAAGCGGAGACGTTCGCCTGTTGTTCTCAGATTTACCTTCATTTAAAAGCTTCACATCTAATGTAGGTCAAGTATTCAAACATCACTATTATTACTGCTCATAGTTACAAATAGTTAATAAATATTAGATGAAAAACATAATGAATAAAAATTTGAAATGTTGCCTTGGCAAATAACTGAAATAAAATAAGTTGAAGTACTAAAATAACTACAACTAAACTGGAATAAAAAATAAATTAAAGCTAAATAGAAATAATTTTTAAAAAGCACAATTTAAATTAAAATAAAAACTGAAAACATAAAAAAGTTAATTTAGAAATATTAATAAATACTATCATAGTATATGAATAATGTTAAAATAACACCTTAGTAAACTATACATGTAATAACATTTCATATTTTTTTATATTTACTGTTTTCACTTTATTTGTAGTAAAATTTTAAGCAATTTTATTGTGTGTTTTTGTCAGTTATTTAAATATTCATTTATTGATTTTAGTTGATAGTTTTAGTTATTTCAGTACTTCAAGTAAAACTAAACGAAAATGAGAAATGTTGCCATGGCAACTAGCTAAAATAAAATAAATTTAAGCTGAAGTACTAAAATTTCTAAAACTAAACGGAAATAAAACCATTATTTTAATAATAAATTAAAGCTAAATAGAAATAATTTCAAAAAGCACATGAAAATATTACTAAAACTTAAACTAAAATTAAAATAAAAACTGTAAATATAAAAATAAAAGCTAATTCAAAATATTAATAAATACTATAATAGTATATAAATAATACTAAAAGAACACTAGTAGGTACTAAACTTAACAGTTAACTTAACTTAACTTTTGTTAATATTTTGTTTTAGACTTTTTAATTTTTCTGTTTTCACTTTAATTTTAGTTTTAGTAATTTTATTGAGTGATTTTTGAGTGTTTTTTATTTATTTTTTAAATATGTCTATTAGTGGTCGACCGATATATCGGCCGATATCTGCCATTTTTCAAATATCGGCATCGGCCGATAAGTTTTTCTGTTTGGCTGATGTGTTCGAGGCGGGACTTTTATTTTGACGGCGTGTCAGACTTTTAGGGTGCTTTCACACCTGTAGATCGATAGCTTTGTTTCCGAAACAGGGATTAAAATGATTACAATGTTGCTTTTTATTCTTGGTGCGGTTCGCTTTCACATGGCAAAGTTTCTAAACGGACCAACTTTGTTAATACAAGTCACGCGCGAGTAAACTGTTGTCTCATTGGTCAAAGTTCCACGGTTTATTTTCCGGGATTCTGCTTATTTGTCACGACTGTCATCCGTCAGGTTGGAACGACAACAGTTTTTTTTTTGTAGCTGTCCTTATATTAATTTATCATTTTGATCAGGAGTCCAGGATTCATTGGGAAAATATTTTTTAAATGCACCTACTAAGAAGAAGAGCAATAAAACGGCATTATAAAATTAAAAAGTGCGCTTTTTTATTTTGAATGGCGAATATGTATGGTTTTAATTTTAGTTTCAGTTAATCATAGGCTAATAAACCTGTTATGTAAACTAATCTATACTAACGATAAAACCCCAATGAGAAAAAATCCCACGGAGAACATCTGAAACAAAACTGACTCTTGACGTAAATGAGAAAGAGAAATCTCTGAGCAACTGAATTGTCCTACACTAAAAACAGCTCCAGTCTTTCTGCCTCTGGTTTCTCGTGAGCTCTCCTGGAGTTCTCCATGTCCTTCACATGAATCTCTGTGTTTTTCCTCTGCCATCCGCATGTGTGTTAAATAAGTCTAGGTTCTGGCCGAAGACCCCCCAAGCCCGCCGCATGTGAATAAACAAAGACAAAGCGGCTTCAGCAGCTCCTACGGTCCCCCATGATGCTCTCCTGGGGCTTGGCTCACAAACGCTCACCAATCTAACCAGAAGAAAACTGTTCAGGAGACGCAATAGAGATGCGTTTCTACTCTAAAAGTCCTGAGGAGAAATAAAAACAGACCTACAGTGGGAGTAGATGTGGAAATCAACTTAACTCTCCCATTGATCTCACTGTCGTCTAGGAGAAACTATTGAGGTATAACGTGTTTTTTGATTTATTATGAGGCCCAAACTCAACTGTACGGGCTAGTACAGTAACCACATTCCTAGACATTCTTAAGTCTCTAATAAAACAGTACTGCTATCTAAAGTTTAATTTGGGATTATTTGACAATTTGGACATTATAAACCTCACAGTAACAAAATTTGAATTTTTGGACAAGGTACTATGGAAATACCATGATTTTTGGACATGTACCATGACAATACCATAGTATTTGGTGGCAATACCATGTTTTTGGACATGTACCATAGCAATACTATAGTATTTTGGGGCTATGCCATGTTTTTGGAGAGGTACCATGGCAATACTATAGTATTTGGGGGCAATACCATGTTTTTGGAGTGGTACCATGGCAATACTATAGTATTTTGGGGCTATGCCATGTTTTTGGAGTGGTACCATGGCAATACTATAGTATTTTGGGGCTATGCCATGTTTTTGGAGTGGTACCATGGCAATACTATAGTATTTTGGGGCTATGCCATTGTTTTGCACATGTGCCATGGCAATAATATAGTATTTTGGGGGGCAATACCATGTTTTTGGACATGTACCATGGCAATATTATAGTATTTTGGGGCTATGCCATTGTTTTGCACATGTGCCATGGCAATAATATAGTATTTTGGGGGGCAATACCATGTTTTTGGACATGTACCATAGCAATACTATAGTATTTGGGGGTAATACCATGTTTTTGGAGTGGTACCATGGCAATACTATAGTATTTGGGGGCAATACCATGTTTTTGGAGTGGTACCATGGCAATACTATAGTATTTTGGGGCTATGCCATTGTTTTGCACATGTGCCATGGCAATAATATAGTATTTTGGGGGGCAATACCATGTTTTTGGACATGTACCATAGCAATACTATAGTATTTGGGGGTAATACCATGTTTTTGGAGTGGTACCATGGCAATACTATAGTATTTGGGGGCAATACCATGTTTTTGGAGTGGTACCATGGCAATACTATAGTATTTTGGGGCTATGCCATTGTTTTGCACATGTGCCATGGCAATAATATAGTATTTTGGGGGGCAATACCATGTTTTTGGACATGCACCACAGCAATACTATAGTATTTTGGGGGCAATACCATGTTTTTGGACATGTACCATGGCAATATTATAGTATTTTGGGGCTATGCCATTGTTTTGCACATGTGCCATGGCAATAATATAGTATTTTGGAGGGCAATACCATGTTTTTGGACATGTACCACAGCAATACTATAGTATTTTGGGGGCAATACCATGTTTATGGAGAGGTACCATGGCAATACTATAGTATTTGGGGGCAATACCATGTTTCTGGACATGTACCATGGCAATAATATAGTATTTTGGGGGGTTATGCCATGTTTTCGCACATATACAATGGCAATACTATAGTATTTTGGGGCAATACCATGTTTTTGGACATGTACCATGACATTAATATAGTATTTTGGGGGCAATACCATGTTTTTGGACATGTATAATGGCAATACTATAGTATTTGGGGGCAGAGATTTTTATTCTAAAAGTCCTGAGGAGAAATAAAAACAGATCTACAGTGAGAGTAGATGTTGATCTCACTGTCGTTGATTGATCTCACTGTCAATTGAGGTATAACATGTTTTTTTTATTTATTATAAGGCACAAACTGGCTAATACAGTAACCTCATTCTTAGACATGACTGAGCACTGAAACCAAAGCAGCCAGATATTGGTGCATTTGGCACAGAAACGTCCCGTTTGTGGAAACCCATGTTGCGGTTCTTCTCACTCAGACAGTGCCATCACAAACAGGCTTTTCAAACCAGCCGTCGAACACCCTGCCAAAACCTTCCCTATTATTTCCTGTCACCTCAGAATGATCCGCTCCGCCAACGTCTTTTCCACTTGAATACTTCCTGCGAGGACATTTTTATATTTTCACACGACCCCGAACACTGGCGCCCACACAGCACATCTGTTCACGTCTACCGATCAGAGACCGGTTTGTGTTTATCTGCACAGGTTTACCAAACAGAGTCTGGATCAAACTAGAAAATCCAGAAGGATGAATAAACACGGGAAACGTACTTTCCCGTCTCTAATAAAAACAGCTGTCTAAAGTCTAATTTAAAAGTCTAATTTTGGATCACTTGACATCTGGACATTATAAACATCACAGCAACAAACTGGGAATCAAAAGAAGTGTAAAAGTGTCTCTACCAACTAAAAATTCAATGGTCAAACAATGGTCTACTGGACATGGCACTATGGCAATACTATAGTATTTTGGACATATACCATATTTTTGGACATATACCATGGCAATACTGTAGTATTTTGGACAAGGTACTATGGCAATACTATGTTTTTGGACATGTGCCATGACAATACTATAGTATTTTGGGGGCAATACCATGTTTTTGGAGTAGGGGTGGAACGGTTCGCGGAAAAAAATCTAACCGTACGGTTCTCCACACACGGTTCGGCACGCACTAGGACCGTGGTTCAATTTAAATCTGACAACGCATCTGTAATATGGTTTGCTATAAATAAACACGTAAAACAAATAGGGTTCGGCTAATATATGTTTCTGTTGATGGATGTGCTTTCTGGCTTCCCAATGCATTACAACAACAGCGATGAAAAAAAAAAAAAACATGGACAAACCATTCACTCTTGTTCAATCCGAATGCCGTATGCTGGAATATGATCATTTATTCCGTCATCATCCGGGTGCTGATAGCGCGCACAGGTGAGACCTGAACAGCACACGTTGATATCTGTGTTTAAGCTAAACTCATTTAAGCTTTGCCAGTTTAAACATTTAAGAGCCAGAGGATGCGAGCTCGCGCGCGCAGTGAGAAGATTTGTGCTCTCTCTGAAGTATTGTGTTTAAATGGACAAATTCACACAAAAATTATGTCAAAATGCCCCTCTTGGTAAGTATCCAATATTGCCTAAACATAGCACTTACCGAACCATACCGAAACCGTGACTCTAAAACCGCGATACAAACCGAACCGTGAGTAAGTTGAACCGTTCCACCCCTATTTTGGAGATGTGCCATGACAATACTAGAGTATTTTGGGGCAATACTATGTTTTTGGAGATGTACCATGACAATACTACAGTATTTTGGAAAAGGTATTATACAAAATGGGAATCCAAATAAGTGTAAAGGTTTTTCCACTAACTAAAAAGTACCATGATATTATCAAAGGACTTCTGGATATGGTACTATGGCAATACTATGATTTTTCCCCAGAAACGTACTTGTTGAATACAGATTAGTCTGTAATAAAAAACAGTCTGGTCTAGTGTTGTTATCTAAAGTCCACATGATAACTAGTTTAATCAGTTTCAAGAAGGTTGATAGCAAACATGTTGCGTACTCCTCACTAGTGTGGTTTCTCTTATACTAGTTACGGTCAAATGTGGGAAGCTGATATTTTATCTGTATAAAAAGGTAAACAGAAGGACATGGAGACAGTTTTTCTTGGCATCCAGACAGGACTGACCTCAGAGGAAGTCTCTGAGACTTCTGAAATTGGCCGTTCGGACTGACAGTGATTGAACTGCTAAGATGGATTCATACTGGACCAGTGTTTGGGAAACCTGTTCGAAAACAGTCATTATTCTGTTTGGAGACTCTAGTCGTGCTGAAATAACGCACTGTAGCTTTAAATATGCAATACTGATGATGCAGAGATTGTTAATTAGCACATTTGCAGGATTTGTTTATAGAACAGAATAAACTGCAGAAAATTATCATTATTTTTTTGTCCAACAAATTCATAAATGCAGTGCAAATATTCTGACGGTGTACAAACAAAATCTACACACTTAAAAAAAAAAGGCTGGCATCTGTGGTTCCATGAAGAACCTTTAACAACCATGGAACCTTTCCACTGGACAAACGGTTCTTTAGACTATTAAAATGTTCTTAACACTAAGAAAAATTATTCTTTTAAGAAAGCCTCTTTGGGGAACCAAAAATTGTTCTTCTATGGCATTATTGCGAAAACCTCCTTTGAAACCTTTATTTTTAAGAGTGTTGAAGAACCTTTTGAAGAACATTTTAATAATCTAAAGAAACGTTTGTGCATTGGAAAATTTCCATGGATGTTCCAAGGTTCTTCATGGAACCATCAATGCCAGTCAAGAATCTTTATTTTTCCTTTATTCACAAGAACCAATTTGTTCTTAGCATGAAGAATATTTTAATAATCTAATGAACAGTTTTTGCAGTGGAAAAGTTTCCATGGATGTTAAAGGTTCTTCATGGAACCATCAGTGATGAGAACGTTTATTTTCAAGAGCGTATGACAAATGGATGTACCCCAAAAAGACTGATATTCAATATTCAACAAGCTCTTTTCATTTTCATGTCTTTCATTTGCCTTCAGCCATGTCAGAATATAAATAGCCTCATTAATTTCTTTGCTAATGGGGGGAAGAGGTAATTAACGTGATGACAATCATGAATAATGTATTACTATGCTAAAGAGATGCTGGTTAATCAGTGGCTGGAAAATGACACTCATTATTTAACCTCAAATTTTTGAGATGCTCAAATGACATCTGAATTTATTTCCCATCATCACGCTCTGAAAACATACCACACGGAGAATATCTGAATCTGAAAAGCACCAGCTACAAAATGACTTTAAGACTTTTTATTTCGTGCTCTCAGGTGTTGATTTCAGGATCGAGAGACACGTTCACCCGCAGACAAACTCAATCACAGCATCCATTAAAGGGTTAGTTCACCCAAAAATGAAAATTAGCCCATACATTACTCACCCTCAAGTCATCCTAGGTGTATATGACTTTCTTCTTTCAGACGAATCCAGTCGCAGTTATATTAAAAATTGTCTTTGATCTTTCAAGCTGTTTAATGCCACTCAGCGGGTGTTGCATGCATCAGTCCAAAATAAGTTCAATAAAAAGTGCCCATCTATAAAAAAAAACAAAGTGTCTCACACGGCTCCGGGGGGTGAACAAAGGCCTCCTGTAGCGAATCGATGCGTTTTTGTAAGAAAAATATCCATATTCAAAACGTAATAATCACTTTAATGTAGCTTGCGCCAAAGAAGAAAGTCATATACACCTAGGACAGGGGTAGGCAAGTTCGGTCCTAGAGAGCCGCAGTCCTGCAGAATTCAGCTCCAACCGAACTTGCCTACCCCTGGTCTAGACGATATTTGTCCTCTCTCCTCCAGGCCAGCACGAGTTGCCCCTTCTAACCCCTGGGTATCTGATGTTCTTCGTGAGCATCGGACCAAACTCAGGGCAGCAGAGAG